CTCTCTCTCTCTTTGTCTACGCACGCAATGTCTTGGCAAAGGCAGATTTTCGTGTTCTATTGCTTATTGGTTAGAAGTGAAATAAAGGTCTTGTTAAACATACATATCTTACTGTCTACTTGATCATTACCTATCCACTAGTTCTAGCAGTTAGTTCATGTTCAACAAACGTTGTTTCATAGCTATGTAGTTTATTGATATTTCAACAAAAAACAAGCGTATCCTGGATACCATAAGAAGCGTTTGAATTTAAAAATAAATTTGGTAGATTCGTTTGTCTAAATTATATTACGTTCCAGAATTATAGTAATAAAAATCATGGCTTAAACGCGTATAATTTTAAAACATTTTATTCACCCCGAATTGAAAGCCATTTTCATTATAATATTCCAGAATGATCATAGCATGATTTAAATCACAGGAACAACGCGCAACTCCAGCACCGGAAATAATATCGTCAGCTGTACGCATCGAACGCCAATGGTGTAATCTATAAAAGTCGAAGACTCATCTGTCGCTAGGTGATGAAGATGGACGATGATAACAATTTGTTCGGCTTCGAACTCGTGAAGGAATTATACAAAACACAAACCGCGAGACAGGAGGACCTCATAATCCTGTTCGTTCATTGGTATTTTATAAAACACGGATTTAGATGTATCGGAATCGGCGATACCGTAAGTCGTTAAACGATCAACGTACATACAGGAAATGTCGCGTAATTTAAACGCTTTTTGCGCTGACATCATCGCACACTTTATATGTTTAATAAAATACTAAATTCACATGTCGTTCTTTAAATTGCACGATACATAACCTGTCGAATAATTTCTGCACGTTTAACCGTAGTAAAATCGATTTAGCAACAGTCTTATCATAATTATATGACAACGTCGTCAAACTCCTGAACAAAGTCGTACACGGTACATCTTTCATTTTAGAAAACGTTTGAACCGACAGAAAAGGGATCACAATTACTTCCAGAAGGATGGAACACCCGTCCCAATTATGCATTACGTTATTTGGCCAACAGCAAATTGTATCTACTCCATGCAATAAGATCAGAGGAAGATTTGCTTCTAAATTTATTGGTAACGTATAAAACTGTATCACTGACACTTCCACGGACGGGAGAAGACGATAAAACATTTTATGTGACAGAGGGTCGAAGGAGAAGCTGTGTCCAGTGTTCAGTTTCCGATTAACCAGACCGTAAACGATCTCGGTGGACCCACGCCAAAATACCAAGATGTCATGAATCTGATTCAGAGAGATCTCGTAGATCCCTTACACCCTGGTAACACCTCGGAAACGTCCACTCAAACCACGTCGACGAATGATTCGAGGGACGACAGATTGAGACCTGATCCTTTAAGGGTAGGACGGCCTGGGCCGTATCCAGGGTAAATATTCGCATCGAAAACTAAACGTCATAAAAGAACGTAACAAGGGCTGACAGGGAGACGGAAGAATCGATGCGATTTTCATACGTAGATCAGATTCACGAATAACATTTTTCGAACATCTTTCCAGACGTTTCACGATACCGATGATTTAAATATGGACGAGTTTTCACTGTTCGAAATTTGAATCTTTGCCATTTAAGTATTTAACGCGCACAATTGAACCTGTGAACTTATAATTGGTATAAACTGTTTTATTCTCTCCATGACATGCCAAAAAATGATTTTTTAATATGCGACGTTTCAACGACCGTTTCACTGCGATCATGCGTTTGAAATTTTAAAACAGCCCTGCTGCCGATCTTCTGAGAGTCGGAGCCGCAGATTTAGATCCATTGGCACGTGGCGGTGGTGGAATGATCTTCGATCCATTTGCTGCGCGCAATCATGTGCATCCCAACAGGCCCGATGTAGGGATACCGGGAAGGCTACCACCGTGAGTTCATTGAAAACTGACGATCGACACGATTTATGTTAAATCCTTACTAACGACAGCGTTTCATTTCAGTGGAGCGGTCCCGCCATTCGCCAGATTCGATCCCTTCGGTCCACCGGACCCTGACCCGCCTAGACCGAGACGCCGTTTACCAGAATACGGTGAAAATATGTTCATGTAAAACGAACGAAATGTAACTACCACAAAATACATCTGTCTGACGCATAGCGATCTTTATAATTTTGTAACTGAGAAAAAAAGTGAAAAAAAAATAGATAGAGAACGACGAAGCTGTTCTTAGAATAAACGTCTCCGCTTGTTCGGAAGATCAGGGAAAAAGTCTTATTAAATTTTAGTCACGCACCATGCGAGACCGTGTCACGAAACGACTTCAATTTTTTTTTTTTATTATTTCATTACTGACGTTTCACAATATAACAAAATTCTTCGTTTAATTTAATCAGTGTCATTTTAATACAGCAGTAGGTAGGAAATTACATTAACAAATTAAATATAATAATAATAATAATATTAATTCTCATTTTCCATTGCGCTAACTCGTTAAATTCATTTATTTAGTTTCTTCTTTTTGTATAATCGATTCGAAAGGAGTGACTGTTCTTACTTCATTACGTCGGTTCAAAATAGAGGATTTTTCGCTATCTAAGTTGTTCCTGCGTTTTCAATATTCATAAAACAAACTGGAACACTTATTTTAAACTTAAAATACAATTATATCGTATAAATCGATTTGTTTTCACATCATCATCATTTTTAAATACATGGCAATTGAAAAAGAATTATACTCCGTCCATTTTTTCGGCCGTTTTCAATTTGAATTTCTGACAAGAAAATTAAATTTTACAGAACGTTTCGATTCAATTCTTCGAGAACGAAAGTTTACCTTCATTGTTCTTTAAATTTCAATACTCTGTGAGTACTCGGAATAGTCGACTTTCAGATCGAATTACGTGCCTAGATACAATTTTAAATAAGATCTACGAATGCCCATTTACTATTTGATTCGAAAATGCGGGCTGCGATTCTTCCTCGACCATGAAGATGTTCTTTCAATCGTCATTTTCATGGGTAGCTCTCGAAAAGCCCGATCATCAGTCCCATCTAATTTTTCGACGACTCTTCTCTAGCAAGAAACGTATCACAGATAAAAATTGTTCACTCACGTATTACGACTACTTCGGTACGAAGTATCACCGCTTGAAGAAGTGAATCGAACAAAATCAAATTTCATACGATAAGAATTATTGGTCGGCGACCCATCTCGGCGACGAATCGCCGAGAGGAGACACACCTCAAGTATCAATGTTTTAAAAACAGAAATGAATCGAAGATGAAGAATGAACCTTGAGAGAGGGGAAAGAGAAAGAACGGTTCACCGATCGTGACGGTTATTAAAAAAATTATCTAAGGAAAGAGAATTGAAAAAAAATTGAACAATTAGAAAAAATTATTCAACTTCGGGTCTAAGGTTCGATTAATTCTCATTTTTTTTTTTACGAACATCCCTCGTCCCATCCTCTGGTAAAAAATATTGCAGTTTTTTTAACATTACAAAAAAGGAGCTGTACCAGGTTTCGAACTTCATTCCGAGTCTGCGATCACAGTGAATGTACGACGGACACTTAAAAATTATGCACAAAACGGACGAACGCCTCGCGGCAATTGAATTCATTGTTAGCCGACGGTATCGCGGGAAAACGTCGTTCTGAATCATTGATCGTTGATCGTTGATCACGAAAACGAAGACGAGAAAAATACGTAAAAGGTAATCACTCTCCTGTACGCGACAGCGTTCAACGCGGAGCACGAGGAAACGATCTCGTAAACGTAATTCACGTATCGTGATACGTACAGAAAGTACGTACATTCACGTTGAATCGGCAGACACGTGAAATGATTCTAAGTATTACATTCATTATTTTAGGAGTGAATTTTTTTTCTCTATCTTTTGAACACAGTTTAGTGTGGCGTACAGCATCACCGACAATTTTACCAAAATCGTTGGTACGATTAGAATATATGCTTCACACAAAACGCGTATGCAGCCTTTTAAAATTTATCGAATAAAAGCAGATGTTTCGTGTTGTTTAAAAAAATTTTGGTGAAATTGCCGTTAAGCTACGATAAAAGTGATATATAACTCTGGAGTGATTTTTCTTTTTCTTCTTTCTTTTCCTCGCTTTGTTTCTCGCAATATTTCGTTATTTCAAGTTAACGCAGATTCCAAGTCCAGTAAGAGTTAAGAACACTCATCGATTCGGCATGCCATTGGAAATGCAACGCAATTGTTTCTCCCACCTGACGTTCCGTATCCGTGTTCGTATTCGAAGATCGACGTCCGAACGTGCTTGTAGACCCTTATCGTGTTTCACATATTTTGTACAAATCGTCTTTCACAAGTGTAGGAGGTAAATACATGAAAATACGTGCAAGTTTCACGTGGATCGCTAATAATCTGTATCAAATTTAACTTTACGGTTGATCGGTATAAAATGGAAAACAGCGGACACTGGTTCAACGACCGTTGATCACAGCACGTTATCTAAGTTCGCGAAACTCAGTCAAATTGATTAACTATCATACAAATGTGAACAGCGCCAGGCTCCGTTCAGGAAAAGATTTGTTTCAAACGATCATCGTGTAACGATCGAAAACAAGGACGACACGAGTCGATTTTTCTCGTTATGCGCGAAACATCCTCGAGACTCGGTGCGAGACGAAAGCCAATGTTCAAAGACCATTATCAATCGTTTCGTGTGTTCAATTATCGTGGAAAACTTAACTTCCTGTTTTCTTTATTGCACTAATTTTTCTAAATAGCCTAAGTTCGACGACGATTAGGTACAATCGCAGTACCAAAGGAACCGTTCACTTTGTCAAAAATACCGCTGATCCAAAGGTGCCCCCCCTTCAACCTCGCATAAATAACATATCGACCGACGTTCAAAAGATTAATTCAAGCAACGTATCGCGTGTTCAATTGGACCAAGTAAATGCAGCCTTCGAAAATACTTGTATGCGCTGAAACGAGGCACCCCGAGTAGTAACATTGTAAAACGCACATGCCGATCCTCTGTTCGTTTCATCGTTCGTCGTACAAACGATCAGGTCCGTTCGAATTCTATTAACCATCTTTACCACGACGACCTTTTTATGCCTGTTCTACGGCGTTCGGTGTTAATTTAGTATCAAAAATAAATATAAAAATTCCATGAAAGAAGAGTGGAAACGATCGTGAAGCGATCGGTACTTTCCTTGAAACCAGTTTACGGTTTACGCGGGAGAATCGGACAGTGCAAAACATGCAATTTAAAATCGTCTGGTAAAGTCGTTCGGTTGCATTTCCATTGATAGGCCTTTCAGAACAGAGTCGATACAGTGTCTCTTGTTACCAGGCGCGAAGACCTATACACTTAGGTATGTACCAATCAGTATGAATTAGTAACTTTTCAAAGAAATCGTTTGATCTATTGGACGCAACAGGAGTTCTTCTGTCCATTCTTGAGCTTCAACCGAGACTTGGGACGATACTTTTCAAGATAGGCCAGCTGCTTCGAGTTGATGGCGCCTCGTCTTTTGCTGAACAAACGTAAATCGGTTCGATGAGTCACACGGCCTTGTCTCGCGTACAAAGGATCAAGAATACTGAATCGTACTTACTCCCTGATCAATGCGACTGCGTCCTCGTACTTGAGTCCGAGCTCGATGAGAGCCAGAGCGACCAAAACCGGTGCTCTGCCGAGCCCCGCGACGCAATGTACCGCCACGCACGCATCAGGCGACTCACGGAATCGGTTCTTCAGTAGTTCAAACCATTCGTCGATCACCTGAAACCGAACACGGTCGACGTATCATCAGATTCGAATCCAACCGTAGCGTGGACTCGGTCGTTCGAAACGTTACGATCGTACGTACTTCGTTCGGTGGGAAGGTGCCATCGTCGAAGACCAGATCTATCACGTTGATCCCTTCAGCTTTGAGTTCCTCAACTTTGTACGTTGGTTCACAGACCCTCACTACTTCTTTGACATTGTGCTTTTTTAATTCCTGTCGGAGGAAGAATGAGTATTAATCACCGCGCAGAACACCGCAGAAGCTGGGGTCTACGGAAAGGCGAGCGACAGACGTACTTGAATGAAAGTATGAATGGTCTGATCATTGGGCCGATCAGTAATGAGGAACTTCATGTTTTTGTATTCGATCTCGGCGGGCTCTGGTCTTATGTCCTTCACCCTCATGTTGCTCATTTCCTTTTGCACGGCGAGAGAAAAAGAACTCCTACTTTCCCTGTGGATCGCTCTAACTTCTCACGTCTCCAAGGATTCTGTACGTCGACCGTTTCACTTTACCTTCTTATTTTCTGCGATGTGCCACACTATACGAAGCGACAAAGGCTGGATTTTGACAACTTAGCCCATAGGTGTCAGTCTTATAAAGTTGTTTCTCATTTAACTAATTGAATATTTTGTTATTTTTTTACAGAGGACAGAACAATGGGTTCACATGTAGACCTCGAGAAGTTTTGTCAAGGTGCGGATTCCTTCGAAGGGGAGAGGACTACGTTACATTAGGCGTTGTTGATATGCGACCGAGTCCCACTCGGGATTCTTCACTACGATTCGGAAGATTATCTGAAAAACGAGAATTGGATCAGATTCCGATGATGACGACGACGACGACGACGACGACGACGAAAATTCGTCGTATCGGCTCTTACCTATTTGGCACTGGCTGCGCCTGGATCAGGTGCGCTCAGTAACTACGATGCTCGCATCTAATACGGTAAATTAACAATTGATACTATTTAATTCTTCCTACGTTCCGCGCGATGACTAGCTAATTGATTCTCTGACTTCGAGGCAATGATCCCGATATATCATAAAATTCCTTTTTCTTTTTGTTTCTTTTGCCCAATCAAAGATGTTTTCGATCCCCTCTTCTTCAACAGTGCTTAGCAGGTTCTAAGATGCTCGGGCGTGTCTCTCTATTTGTGTTGAGCCTGGCAGTATTCTGCACTATCCAGCTGAAACTCCATGTATGTGAGGATGCACTCACCAGGAAACTGCAACATAGACGAAGAAACGTTCTTAGACAATTTCGTAGGGTCGGCGGACCGCATACAAGCAATCGAGACGCGAGTACGTCGATTGTCTTTCGAGCTGACAAATAATCGCGTCGCTCGGCGAGGGCGGGGGTTCAACGAAAAATACAAACGCAGTACGATAAATTCGCAGTTGTAAATAAGATTCTATTTCGGTGCATAGCGAGATATTCTTATCCCACTTGCGACAACGGACCGATCACAAGTCGTCGCGTACGTATGACACGTGCCAAATCTTGCGTCAAACCATTGTGAATCGGCGAACGCGTACCCAATCTGCCCGGTAAATTCATTACGGAGAGGAAAAACGACATCAATTTATTCTTTGCGTACGACACACGCGTGTCACCGTAACGACGTTAGACGTGACGTCTCGAACCTCGAACGAGATCGATCAAACGGCAAGAGTTCTCGGTACCGCCGACGGATCGACGCGGCCCGATCTCTTCACGCGATCCACGCGTACTTCTCTTTGTATCTCGACGCTCGACGGTTCGAGAAACGATTCGAGTTATGAGGACGCGTTCACGATAGAAACTGACGTAAAACGTTGAAACAGAGGACGCGCGTCGTCGGAGCGTGGCAGTGCATTTTTTAAATCTGTGGTGCTACTAGAAACGTTCGAACAATCGTCGAACAAACACGAATTTTCTCTTTATCTCTGGCAGGAGCACGTGCTAAGCGAAAGAGACGGTGAAGACGCGCAGAAGTGCTTCCGTCGTCTCGTGCACCGGGTGGTTCCGGGGATCGCTGATCGTAAATAGAAATGTCTAGGTCAACATTCCGGGAACGGAACGACGCTACTCCCGACAGAGACTCGTTCGATCGACGTCCTACCACCCGGGGACGAATTCGCAGCGGTCGATCGAACTTCCAGTACGTTACCCCCGTTCGTCACACGGAAGACGAACGCGATCGAAGAAGAGACGAGAGAACGCGTTCGAAGCTTCGTCTTGCGAACCGTTCGTCGGTCGGATCTCGCGGTCGAACGATTTCACGCACCTGGAACTACCCCGAGGTCTGCGACGGATGCGGAGAGACCCGGCCGTGTCGGTGTCGCGCGACTGAAACGAATCGTCTCTTCGCGGACGTCGACCAATTCGAAACGCAGATCGGGAGAGACAGGTATAGCGACGGGGCGGCACGCGCCGTCGTTCCGTCAGGACGTCGAGACAATTTACGAAATGCCTGTTTACGTAACGAGAGGTTCCGTTGCGCTCCTCGAACCGCGATGGTGGACAGGAAAAAGTGAGAGCGCTCGAATCGACGTACCGGAATAACCAGAATAATTGGCAGCCGGTAGCCGACGAACCGGGCGCCGACGTCTCCGCAAGCTTCCCGACGCGTCGTCACAAGGTCGGATTAGTCTCGACGACCGGGCCCTTTCTCACGGCCGTTCGCGATCGACGATCGATCGAATCTCTTCGTCTCCTCCGACGCGTACCCGTCGTCGTTCAATTACTCCGCGAGTTCCAAGACCGTGTCGTTCGTCACGTCGTCACGGATCATCGCGTGGAGCACGAAGAATACGAACGCGAGATAGTAAAGCCGGGTATTCATCTGAGCACGAATGCGAACGAGGCAAGGCGAGTCCGAATGAGCATACATATGTGGACGTGTAACCGAGGCGCGGCAAACTGCATTCGGCTGTTCGCCGCACAGACTGAGGCATTCGGGACCCGAGCCGATCGGAGTCGGTACTTCAAAGAAAAATTTGGTTACGTATGGACGGCATTCGTGTACGTTCCACGTACCTTGCCTATCTCGCTGGATCATCGTTCACTGCGTTCGCTGTGGATCACTGTCTCGTTCGTTGCCTCGGCAGACTTCGTTCGCGAAGAAAAATTTTACAAACGAGACAAAACGAGGCATTTGTTCGGACTCGCCTTGCCTCGTTCGCATTCGTGCTCAGATGAATACCCGGCTTAATAAATCTGAAGCGACGAACAAAGGGGAAAGAAACAACGGGCAGTCAGTGAAAGGAGTAAGTACGCGCGGAAACCCGTGCCTCTGCCAGTTTGCCTTTACCGTTAGCACCTATGGTGGTGGAACGTCGCGCGCTCGTGAAAAGAAAAACCTCACCGAGATCGACCCAGAAACCTACATTCGACCGTGGAACACGTTGGCCTCAGTGAAAACGAGGTACGCGTACACGTATGCGCAGACACCGATCATTTCTTTCGCGCTCGTCCATCGCGCACAGGTGAAACTGGCGTCTGCTCTGGCGTTCTCTGCGTCAGCGTCTCGTCGATTCGTCAGGTTCGAAACCCGAACCGAAAATCGATCGATCCTGCGATTCCTCGTTTCGCGTCGATCGTGCGAACACCGTAAAAGGGTTTCGGACGACTCGACGAAACGAAGGTGACCCAAGGTCCGACGTCGTGCGAGAGCCAGTGTCCCAGTTCCGCGTGGAACGTCTACGCGCGGTACCTACCGACGTTCATTCGATTTTCGTTCGATTTGACGCCGGGATCCCGAAGACCAAGTCCAAGTTAATGGTCGAACGAAACGTAAATGGTAAACGGCACGGGGGGGAGTACGTATGTCTATATTTAAAGTCCGCTGCTTCGGGCTTAAAATATCCCGGGAAGAGAGGCAGAAACAGTGACAGACAGGGAGGGACGAAGTGCACCGCGCGCACTGACAGTTCGAACGCGGCGGTGGTAAATAAAATTCTGTTTGCCGTATCGTCGTCGAATTCGGCTGGAATTTACTGGACGTAAGACCAACACGGAAGAGACGAGAATCGGGGTACGACTCTTCCGAGTTTCGCGTCTACGTTCGAGAAAGTTCCCAGCCGGCGAACCGGCGAACAAGGAGATTCATTGTCAATCATAGTTCCGTACGTACGTTCGAGGGTTCGCGCGTCGTTCCGCCGCGAAGCGATTATCGGGCGACGGGAAAGTGGAAATACCGATAGCGATTGGGTGAAGGAAATTTTCTACTCCCGCGTCACGGAAACGTTCTCTCCCGATCGTCGTTTACCGTCGATCGTAACGAAACGAGTCTCACGATGAAATTCTTGTCTAGAAACGAATTCTTATTCTGCCACCGCGTCGGATACTTGTTTTATATCGTAATTGAGAACAATCGGAACCGTGAGAGAAAAATGGTCGATCTCGAGGCAAAAAGTTGCACGCGTCAGCAGCAATTATGGTCATCACATTTATCGAGGTGCGCGGCGTTATTACTTCTGATCGAGACCGGCACGCGTAGATCGGAACGGCGGCACGTCGGCTGGAAATTGATACGAACGCATTGAAACGCGACCTTGTTTTCTTGTTCGTCTCGATTCTCCTACCTCCAAGGATCTATCGAGTAATCGTGCACGCTTCCTTCTCACACCGTTCGGATGAATCTCGAAACGGCGACCAACGTTCTACGGACGAACCAAGAGAACCGCAATCGAGATCGAAAGAGTAGCCTCTCCTCTCGCAAAGTCGTAGATAGACGAGGGTCTGGCGAAACGTTTCGCTTCCCACCGTTACTACTGCACCTCGGCACTGATAAGCTCGACGAGAGATACAACTATAAAAGGTTAAACTGGTTTCGTGTTACGCTTGTCAATCGTAATCCCTTTCTGCTGCATTCTTTTTCTTTTGTTATGTTTATTTACAACTTTATACGTAAATTTACGTATTTATGATTAGTCTTAGTTTTCTTTCTTTTCCCTTTTTTCCCCCTCTCCGTTTCCATTATCTTTCGCCCTTTATTATTATTATTATTATTATTATTATCAAACGAGCACGACGCGACGTCGAACGCGGATCGGATTTTCTCAAATTTCCTCCCGCTCGCGGTCCGACGGAGATGGTGATTTCACCCAGGAATTGAACGTTTAGATTCCACGAAATCTGGCTTTACCTCACCTTAGCAACCGCCGTCGCGGAAGACCCAGCGAGTACCGAGTAAATCTATCGGGGATGAGTCACTGCTCCGATAAAAGTACACAAGGCCTTTGAGAAACGCATGTTCCCGTTACGCGCGAAATCTTATAGTTCTACCTGCAGGTGGACTCGTTCGAACGGAGATCCGACGAATAGTGCGTTTGGTCATTAACGAACATGATTTACCGTGATCGACAGTCAATTCTGTTTAAACGCGTAAACGACCGACGCCGGAAGCGCATCAGACGGCGCCTACTCGATCGATCGATCGATCGAACGTATACTCCGTGATTCATGGAACTTCTCAATTATGCACTGATCGTTTGTCACTTTGTGAGAAAGAAAAACGAGGAGTCAGGATTTAATTTCATTCTTAAACGTGTCATCGGTCGACGCCGGAAGAGGACGGCGCCAACGATCGCGCGGTAACAGTGCACGTTCTCGCGACGAGAGGAAAAAAAAATTCATAGTTGTTCGTCCGCCGCGACGACGGGAGGAAACGACGCCGATCAATTTACGAACGAATTACGTCGAACAGAGATCCCTGCGTGGGAACGTAGTTGAAACGTGCACTTTTCTAATTTCGTTCGACTGTGCGGTCGATACTTCCGACCCCGTTTGAAAACAGTCAAACGACGAGCGACGTATCCCGGCGACTATCGTAACGTCGCGCGTACGAGAGGATTCGAGGAGCAAACGCGCAGTCACGGGTCACGTGTAAGTTCAACGTGCCTGGAGAGCGGGCCATCGATAAAAATAGTCGGAAACTTCGGAACGATTACGACGGTGGTCCGATTTGAGAGGCGGGTCCGAGACGAACGGTCGGCGGACACCGCGTGACGAGTGCGTATGCTCCCACCTGCCGATTCCGCGTTCGGCTGGTAACGACGACGGGGCCGTTTCGCCGAGAGAAAAATCGGCCGATCGACCACACGTACGTACGCGTGTACATATACGTGCACAGGCAGATAACTACGCTGTTCTGGTCGAGACCAGTTTCGATCAATTTACGCTTCAACTACGGGAAGACGTGGTACCGCGTGATCTGAACGCGTGAGTCAGCCGTGGCTCCGCATTTTTATTTCAAATTCTACTGTCGCCGAGCGGGTAACGAAGGGGCCAAGAGTACGTAGAAAGCACGCGTGGCGACGGGTCGACGGAGAAAAAAAGGAAGTCAGACGTCGGGAGAGACGCGCGAGCATCTAGTTCGGCTCCCCTTTCGCGGTGTATTCGCGACCGAAACAGAGACCACAAACAGCTGCTACGTTTGTCCGACGTTTAAATGTCGACGCTTTGCGGTATCGTCTCGGCGCAAACACAGCGCGCCAAAAACTCGCGCACCGACGTTCCGATGATAATTTAGTCGCTGACACCATTTTCCGACCCAAGATTCGATCGTTCGATTCTACCCGTGTGTCTCGCGGACGACGAGTACGTCGGGGTCTTTCGGCGACGTTCGCGCGTCTTTTCACGTTTACACAGATCCGCTCGACTTGCCCGCCAAGGAATGCCTGCGACCCGTTTGCCCGCCCGAGACACGTGAACGATTCGACTCGAATGCGTCGCTATCTTCGACGTTCCGACGATCAAACGTCGAGTACCACCGATAATTGTAACGTGCTCCGTTGCACGACCACGAAATTCATTGTCGGTCGACCAATCGACCGGCGGGATCGTGCATTCATTCGATATCGTCTCCTCTCGACCGTGACCTTCGAATGGAAATTTCCACCTGAGAAAATTCGTTCTCCGCGACGAATCGCCGATGCGCGTGCCAACGAAATCATGAATTCCCGTCACGGAGTGACGCGGGTGAACCGCGATCGTTAAAAAGAATTTCACCCGATCGTTCGACTCGACTCTTTTACGCCGTCAGCGACACATGAATGGGCCATCGCGTATCATCGGCTGGGTCCACGTGACCAAAGAGAGGGAGAGGAAGCGTGGTAACCACGAGACGAGAGAGGCGTACCTTAAGGTCATCCGACGACCCGGGATCGATCTCGCCGCGGTGAACGATCGTGTTCGAGCGGTTTATCGGGCACCCGATCGTGTGCTCGCTCCAAGCGAAAGGAACGCGTCGCACAGTTGGGTAAAACTCGAGCGCACGACGTACGCCGGTGAGTCACATCGTACGAGCACCACGTCGACGCGCACTGGGTGCCTTGCACGATTTCACTACGCGTCGAAATTCGTCGTGGCGTCTCATAAAATCTCCTTCCTTCTCACGCTTCCTTTCGATCCGAGCCGGATCGAAAGCACGTTCGACGAACTTCAAGGTGTACGCGCGTGCAACCACTCGAGCTTCGCCTCGCGATTGTCTGGGCGACGTTCTATACTCGCGATCTGCACGACGAACGATCCTCTTCGGACGTTGATTAGGATTCGTGAACGGTAATCGCGATTATATGACTAACCGGTGGGTCGAGCGAACTCGCGGACGAGAGGATGTCGCGTTGCTCGCGTCGCGACGGTCGCCTCGAATCTGGGCCAGCAGTAGCGCGGCGGATGAAAATAGCACAGACAGCTTTTGCCCTCCTCGACGCGGTCGCCCCACTCTCGCTCGCCGCTCTCCGTCGTCGACCGTGACGCTACGCCTCGTCGACCGTCGACCAATCGCAGCCGACGATTCCGTTGTGACGTCGTAACGACGACGACCGCGACGAGCGACGTTCGAACGCGAACAAGCCGGAATCGTTTTGTCGCTACTTCATGATCGTGACTCGTCGATCAAAATTTCTCGTGTAAACGTGCACCAAAAGAGAACGACGTTGCCGACGATCAAACGACGAAAGGGCGATGACGTTCGGTGCACGTTCGAGATACGAACGGTAGCAAATACGTACGTAAAGTGCGTGATTCATTTTCTCGATTAGCAATGAGAGATGAGAAGTTGCGTCATTTCGTAACGCATTACGAGAGCGAAGGTTTCGTTACGACGTCGCACGTATCGCGAGTCGATCTCGTTTGGGTAGAGAACGTTCGATCGATCTGACGATTCATTGGCAACGATACGTCGGTCTACGAACATTAATTTTTCCCGATATCGTTGACGCCGATTCGACCGTTGACACCGGTGGATCGAGAAATTAGATTGGAAACGGCGATCAATTATCGATGCTTCTGAGTGAACGAAGAGAAGTACGAGACGCGAGGTACGCCGCCGATGTTTGCTCGAGTCACGGGAATCGAATCGTACGAAACGAGCAAAGAATCAGCTGCCGTCGTTAACGACGCTTCGAAAACTATTTTATCAGCGACATCACAGAATTTGATTCTGTTCGGAGAGACCGTCGGTGGTGGAACATTCGTGAGACGATCGAGTCAACGACGGACTTGCCGGTCTCGTTCCTCAGCCGTAATGAAACGCACGTTTCACCTGCGATCCCGACACTTTCTCCTCCAGCTCTCGGCACACGGCGGACAATAATTCTGTTGGCAGGAATTTGAGAAAATCGCGATTTCGTTCGATCGTGAAAGTGTCGGCCAATTCGATTGAGATGAAACGTGACGAAACGAATCCGGATAGCGGCGAGACGAATGCACCGAACCAACGACTGGAGTCAGCGGACGTTATGTTGTGGTAATGTCAACGGCGCGTCTTCTGATTCAACGACTGAAATGTGATTACGTGTCCAACAATGGAAAAGGAAATACCGTATTTCCTTTGGCAGACTCTGACGGCCGAAGGTACACAATTCGCGAGGAAGGCGATGTATCAACTTGGACATCGACACCGTCGCCGATATCGATTTTTATTACGAACAAAGAACAGGAAATCGTTTTTCGCTCTCGTTAAAACGCGTCGTCTTACTTCTCACCGATTTAAAATTCCTCGGACTTTACGCGGTGGTCGCGCCGACTCTCTCGTCGACGAGGGAGGACCGAAGAGACCGTCGCCCAAAATTCTCCTGATCCCAGAGAAATCGAGGAAAATCCGAAACAAGACGAGATCGACGCTTGGAACAGTGCGGGCACACGACGCGACACTTTCATCAGCCGAACTGCGGAGCTGACACGGAGATATACGATTTCCCGTGGTCCGACACGGGTTATCAGCGATAGTTTCCAATCCATAAATAATATTATGCACATCTTGGTTGATTCTGGGAAATAATGGGACTGGGAAGGAGGGCTTGCCCCTCATAAATATCAAGTGTGACGAGTCGCGCGACGCAACAACTGCCACCGCCAACGTTACAGAATTTAGAACCCCTTAAACGCGAGATCGTTTCACCTTTTCGCAGTGCGACACGATCGAGGACGGCAGCGTGAACAACGGCAATCGTTCATGTCGTTCGTAAAAATAAATTCGCGTTCCACGTGATCTCGTAATAATTTCGAGGTGAGTCGCGTGGAAAATGTTCAATCTTTTACTTGAAATCGACGACAATCGCGCATCGCCAGCATCGAAACGGTGAAATCGGACGGAAGAAGGAGAAAAACATGTCACGGAGCTCGTATTTCCAAGACGCGATGCTCAAAGGAACTTTTTAATGGCACGGAAGCTTGGCGATGACGGGTAAAATGTTACGTCGACGGCCAACTCTTCGGAGAAGAAACGGTATTAGTGAGAAAATTGTTGGAACGAGACGATAACGAAGAAAATTCGATGGACGAAAAATAATTAAACTAGGAGAATTTTCCCACTTGCCGTGAGTGCTCGACGCGCACCGTCGAGTACCAACAAAAATTCCACGCTCCCTCCGTAACGAGACCACCGTGTGATTTCCTATTGTCGTTGGACGAGTGACATGTTTATCTTTGCTCGTCAAATATTATGCACAAACAAAGACCGTATTTACATCGCTAGCAAGCGATCGCACGATAACAAAGGCATGTACAAAAGATAAGACAGCTTCGTTTAAGTAGCCGTGATCCACTCCGCCTCACTCCGCTTACTTATACAGTGTGCACGGATTAAAACTTGGATCAGACTCCGTTACTTGTTGCGTCTGATTAATTTTACATCGGTACGGCATAACTTTTATCTCGTCTCAAGAACTCGTCCGAAATTATCAGCACCGACGTAACTTTCACCGACACAGATCTCGATCGATCGAGTCCACGAGGAGTTCACCTAATCTTCCCCTTACGATTCGTCCAGGTAGAATTCAAAAGTGACAACGAAGGACCAAGTTTAAAAATCTCGCATGGTCCGTCGATCGCTCGACGCGGTCGCACAGAACGGTCGCAACGACGACGACGACGACGACGGGGGAAACCGGCTGACCGAGCAGCGGGGATGACGCGTGTCGGAGCGTGCAACGTTACGCGTGGTACCGGCTTGAAACGGGAGGCCGAAACCAGAAACACACGGCTGAAACGGTTCAAGACACGTGAATTACGAGAGAGTTCGTGTCTCGAGCAAAGGTTCGACCGAGCGGACGAGACGAGGCATCGGCTGCAATTTTTGCACGTGGACGTTAGAGAACGCGACTTCAGAGGTCGGACCGTCAAGGGTCGATGCGTATCGTCTCGTAGAATCGCCAGGAAAAGAGTCGTGAACGTAAGGGAGAACGATGCCCGACCGTTTCGAGTGATAAGTGCGAAGGTGCACGGGACGCACCGCTTCCCCTCGTTGCAACCGATGGCTCTTTCGGGAAACCGAAGGTAAAAGTGGCGGTGCACGAGCACGATACTAATTGCACGCTATTGCACAGCGTTGCATAAGATTGCATAGTTTTCTGTGCCGACCGCATTGCGCAGGACCGATGCACGTTCCTGGGTAGGCACGCGTGCACCCGTTCGAATCGAAGACCGCGCGTCTTCGTCCTCCCGTCTCCGATCGGTTCGAGGAACCAGGACTCGCCGCGCGGTCGATTCAATCTACACCGTGTTATCAGTAAAGTCACTTGAGACGCATCGGCGAGATTCACGATCGAAGGACGATTTTCACCCGGTGAAGCACAGTTTGCCCAAGGGCGTTGCTCAGATATTGATCGTCGAGTATCGATCGCGATGTATCGCTGACTCTACGCTCGACCGAATTACATACACCTGGGATCGAGCTCGAACCGGCGCCGTCCTTGCCGCCGATGGTCTTATTCAAAAACGACCTTTCGTCAGTAAATTTTTATGGAACGTACCGATTTAGCTCGTGTAACGAAACCTCGGGTCGGCCGAACGTGTCGCTCGGTCGCGTCGGGTTACCTCGTATCGGAGATTTATAAATAGTTCTTTCGAAGGGATCAGAGAGGACGCGCTCCAAGAAAAAGTTGACTTCCCGAATAGACCCTCCCGAGCCTCGGAGTCTGATCTTATACTCTCGTCGACGATCGTCAGCCATGCGTCCACTTCGTCAAAGCGCGGAAGGATCCGACGAGAGTTCACCGTCGATCGAACGTCGCCGGTGACGTCACTGGCCATCCACCCGTTCGACGGGGCGGCGGGTCGTGACGTCGAGCAATGACGTCAGGGAAAAGTGACGACGTCACGGTTCGGGTCGAACGTAGCAGTCATCCCACCCTCCCCCGTGTAACGTCTCCCAGTGTTTGCAATCAGGCGGTGGAAGAGGAGATGATATCGAGGGGTGGACGATCTCCGGGACAGCTGTAGGATTCACCACGATGCTGCGGTACGACGCGATCTCGAACGAATGCTTTCGCGACACGATACTAGGCGAAGAACACGCAATTACGACACAAATACGTACGGATGGTACAGAAGGTGGATCCGACGAACGTGTCGAGGAAAACGTTGTCAAAATTAATCGAACCGTGAACATCGATCGAATCGAGCCGCATTCCCTTCGTCTAATTTTGCTTCGTCGATCGCTTGGTTGCGTCCCTTTCATCGGCACTCGGTAGTTCAGTTCGGAAGTAACGGAAGGGTGCGCGGTCTAACCGAGTTCGGGCCGTCACCCCTGCCGGTTCACCCTCTCGCTCGCGAGGTTCCCGGGCACACCCTCGTCGCCGGAGCTCCTCCAGGCGACGAACGGACGCGGAAGGGCGATAGAACGACGAGCAGCACCAAAGGGCGACGGACCGCGGCCATTAGGCCGTGAATGCTCCGACGCAGCTTCCGCTGCAACGGGCTCCCCTGTTAATCACCATCTGCCGAGCTCGCGAGCCTCTCGTTTCGAGAGGACGAGTCGTGCAGAAGCCGCGCTCATCTCTCTCGCCGGATCTCGTTCGGGGAACGAAGGAGCTCGAAACGAGCGGGACGGACACGACTCCTCGAATCAAGCTTTCAGTCAATAATTTGGAAACTGATTTACGGTCGAACGATCTGGAAACGCAGCGGCCACGTTTCCTCGTCGTTGGCGCCTACAGCGAAAGAAGTCACGGTAGCGGAGAGTTTCAGGTGCTCGTAAAATCGATATCGCAACTAGGACACTGGGTCGTTCGGTGAACGATGACAAGGGGTTACCTCGAGCCGAAGGATCACCGCCGATAACCATTGTGGAGTG